ACTCTCTCTCTCTCTCTCTCTCTCTCTCTCTCTCTCTCTCTCTCTCTCTCTCTCTCTCTCTCTCGGTCTTATCTGTCTCGATCAAGCTTCCCTAAAATGTATGACCCATACATACATACATACATACCTACCTACCTACCTACCTATGTACGTACCTCCATGCATGCATGCATGCATGCATGCATGCATGCATGCATGCATGCATACATACATACATACATACATACATACATACATACATACATACATACATATGTATGTATGTAAGTATGTATGTCGCCTAGTAGTCGCCTGGGCGATATAAAGGTACATTGGCGCCTTGCCTTGCCGCCTTGCAAACTATGATGGTCGTAGCCTTACAATTTTGAGGATCTACGATATTCATTATTGACAATGCTTTAACTCTATGTAACTATTGGACAATATGAAAATGACACATTAAACTTACGTGGCTTCTTACTTTCTGTGAGGTTTTAAGGGAGTAAGACTAGACCCCGATGAGTTTGATACGGAGTATTATACTAGGTGTGTTGGTGTTCTATAGTGGCCTCTCAAGTGAGACCTAAACATGGAGTAAAAAATACACACAAATCTTGCTTTCTAATCATGGTAGTGATTAGATTCAAAGATAGACAAAACTAATTAATTTGATGTGGAAGTTATAAATGGAGGGTTATTCATGTTCTTCGCACCAATAAAAAGTTCACTATACTATTCATTTTATTGGATTTTCAGATTACTAATAAGATTTGAGATGATTCATCTCACTGTATGAGATGTTACTGCAAAAGTAGTGCACAACATGTATTCAATTTATATGGAGTAACTTACCTTAACATAAGCATAGCAAGCAAAGACATTCAAAAACTTACTTTAACATAAGCATCATCATGAAGATTATAAATCTCTCCATCCACTTTTACCATAGAGAAATGGCGTTTAGCCATTTTTGTATCTACAAGCTGCTCACTGCATAAGCTTATTTTATTGTACATTAGAAACACAAATTGCATGCAAAAAATGATTGACGATATCATATATGATAAGCCTCGATTGCATATACGTCAGGTGATAATAACTTGCCTGATGCTTCTTCCATTTGTGTTTAAGTTCGTCTGTAATCAAAAACACATTTCATTGCTAAGTGCATATTTTAAAATGGAAAAAATGATTTCTTGTATATTTCCTGACACCCCCCCAAACCCCAAATGTACATTCCCATATGATATTAGGAAATGTTGGGAAAGGAAAAAAACACACAAAAGATGTGTTGTGCCCAAGATCAACACATTTCCCTCTTGAAAGAACTTGTGAGCAACAACAAACAAACACTCTAAAGAACACCAAGCAACAAGAAGATCCAAACACGAATATAAAATGATAATAGGCACAAGATTTTAACATAGAAACCCCTTTCAACGTGAAAGAGTAAAAAACCACGAGACCCTTCGGTCTAATCAACTCAACTACGACAAAAAGAGAGTAGAAATGCACAATACAACAATACCACAATGATATATAGTCCTTAACGGCTTAACAACATTACAAAGGCACTGGAATCAAAATAGAGGAAGAAAATTGCAAGAAATCACCCAAAAACTGCAATTTGATTCGAAGCTCATAAATCAAGATTGAACTATTGGAATTTGATCGACACCATTTAGATTGAAGCTTTGTGGGTCCTCTAACTCCTCCAGAATTTGAGCTTGATGAGACAAGATTTGGATATTCTATCGACAAAAAAACCAAACCTGCAAAGTTGAGAATATTGCAGCGGAAACTCTCTCTCTCTCTCTCTCTCTCTGAATTGGTGGTCTGCGATATACCTGGTGTTGAAAGTCTTCCCGATAGGAAAATGTTGGGCGGCGTGTCCCGCATGTGTGTAGCAACAACACAAGATGGTATGCAGAACAAATGAATAATCGTTGAGAGGAGGTCACGAGTAATATGGTTGTTGCTTTGAGGGGAGGTTTGTTAGGCGCAAACTCTTTCCCGCACCAGAGGAGAATGGAGAAAGAAACAAAAATAAATATGGTTACCCAACCCATCTGTATGAGGCCTTTTGGGAGGTGCCCAAAAACAAATTTGTGAGGCATGGCATAAAGCGAACAATATCATACTAATGGTACCCAAAAGTCAAATGATAGCCGACCAAAGAAAGTCAATAACTTTGAATTCAACATTGTTATGAATTTCAATGGCAACAAACATATGTTACTCTATGTTTTAAGATTACATGTGTGCATGTCACTTGTGTGATTAACAATTGAAAAATGAATTCTGTAGAGTGGTATAGCTTAGCTATTGCCTATTGATACAAATTTACAACTAGACTTGCACTTGTAGAAGATGAATTCAATTCTTTATTGTTAAGCAATGCACACTAGTTAAGCACTTTTATGAGGTTACCGGCATGTTTTTATTCAGTTTCAATAAAAAAATGATCCAATTGTCAATACATCACACACACATGGGTCAGAAAACATTCTTCTTTTTAAAATCTGGGGATCAATAGGTTTCTCACGTGCTCTTTTGAGTAAGAAAACATTTGTTCATAGTTAAATAATTCTGCTTGGAAATTGAGGAAAATGACTTTTGAAATCAGCTTTAAAATGCAATAAAATTAAGCAGATATATACACTTCCCCTTTTACGTTTCTACTTTATGCAAGCAACGAAAAATACATAAAGATGCATATAAAATGAAAGAAAAAGATGGATTTGGAATAACAGACCCCTTCGTATCGACGAGGCCATCGCCCCCTAGCTTCGGCGTCGGGAACAGGGTCTCCGATAAAAATATCCTCGTCAGGCGCGGAATTCTTCAGCACAGTCTGCTCCTCCACAGGCTCCGGCTGTTCATCCCGCCTACATCTCTTGTTCCTCCGCGCCGGAGCCGACGAAGCTGCTAGGCGTTTTCGAGCCATTCGCGGCGGCGGAGAACGGATGCAAAACCCTAATAATGCGCGCCGAGCTGTGGAGGGCTGGAGGCCGGAGGGAAGTGGAGTTTAGGAATTTGAAAAGAAAGGAAATTTGAATTTTACCTTTTTCGGGGAGTTTCTTTTTTCTTCAAAATGAAACGGAAATGAAGTCGCGCGGGATTTCACAAACCAATTGCAGTCCAATTCTTTTTTTTTTGCCAAACGGATCCTTAGGGAGAAAAGAAGGAATAAGATGATGTAAAAGGAGAATGATGAGAAGCTTGATAAGAGAGAGGAAGAGTTTATACTTTAGGAGAAAGAAGCTACTCACGTTTAGGTCTCGACCGAAAAAAATCGATCGAATCGGACCATTCGGTTCAGATCGAATCCGGACTGAATGGATTTCGGATTAGTCTTCGGTCCAAAAAATTTAGGAATTTGGATATCGATTCGATCTGATTCATACTTGAAATGATTTAGGTCCGAACCGATTGGACCGAATCGACCAAATAACCCTATTGGATTTAAAAGAACTGAATACGTAAACTCCACTTTTTAAGTTCTGTAATACACTTTGATGCTTTACTTGAATAGATATTTTAATTTATTTAATTAAAAAGTTTTTGGTAAGAAATTTTTAAAAAAAAAATCAAAAAAGAATTTGCATTAGTTTTTATTATTATACATAGAAGTAATCCATGTTATGTATCTATTTTTAGGTTGTCTATTTGTACTCTACAAGATAAAAAGCCTAAAATATTTGTTTTTGAAAGACAAACAATCAAAACCTAAAATATATTTAATTGATCAAAATAATTAAAAAAATACATTTTTATTCTTTCCAATCGGTCCGGATCGATTCGGTTCTAAGTATTTTGGTCCGGTCCGGTCTGAATCCGAAATGATTTAGGTCCAGTCTTCGGTCCATGATTTCAATCAATTCGATCTTCGGTCCAGTTCAGTCCTGTCTTGGACCGATTAACACCCCTAGAAAGAAGAGAAGGGACGAATAATATTTCCCTGGAGAGAAAAAAATATGATTGATGAATAATTTTTTATTTTTTTTGTATAAATATGAAGATGACATGTAGAAAAAAATAATTGCAGGGTAAACAAGTACGGAGTATGAAAATCATTAACGAATTGTGACAAAAGTTGAAAGAAAAAAGTGATGTGATATTAAAAGTGATGGGAAATAATACATGGTTCAGCCCACATTTTCCAATTATTTATGAAAAATATTCAAATCGGATCTGTTTAGTAAAATGAAGAAAAAATTCATCCGAAGATGTTCTCTCTCCTTCCTATAAAAGAGAGGATTTGCCCTCAAAATGGAGGAGGCTTTTCTCAATATACTCACTCTCCTTGCCCGCTCTTTCTCCTTCTAGAATCCTTGTATTTTTGTTCTACAAGAAGATTCAAGCTTACATTAATGACTTCCGAGCCCAAATCGTGTACCATGTACAATCTCCGATATTAATATAAATACCTTGCTGGCAAGGTACCGCCAAAAAAGGCTCGTGGTTTTCACCCAATTTGGGTTTCCACGTCAAAATCCTTATTTTTATATTTTGATGTATTTTTTAGACTAATTATCATTTTTGCCCGGCTAAATATGATATAACGATGGATAATTTACACCATCAAAAAGTAAATGATATGAGAGAAGAATAGAGGGACATGCTCTTATAGGAGAATAGAACTTCTATTTTTGATACTTTCTCTATGATGATATACTAGTGTATGCTACGACTTCATACTTTGTATATGAGTTGTGTTTCCATCAAGTCCATGATCCTAAAATTCAGTATGGACCTTTCACATGTGATTTTTTTATTTTTTTTCCTAAAGAGCCCAATTCGTTCATGCTCCATTTGCTATATAGAATTCAAACTATGAAATATTGAGAACAATAGTTCCAATTCTGTTGTTAGGTAACACAAAAATATGAAGAATTGGAATTGGTAGTGCCAAGAATGAATTGGAATTGAGAAATTTAATTCCATCCAAATCGATTTCATAGAATTTGAACTTCCAGTTCAATTCCAATTCCGTCAATTTTGTGTACCAAACGGGCCCTCCTTATTTTTTTATATACTAAAATCTATAAAATAAATTCACGGTCATTACATACTCAATGCAAATCTTCCTTTATTATAATTATTCTATATTCTCTGTTTGAAAATTAAATATATCCATTCATTTTAAAAAAAACAATAAAGTATCTAAGTAGGTAATTATCTTTTTTTAAAAATCTGAGTTTATTGGGCAACACCTGTCAATTACTTTAGTTTGTTTTTAAAACATCTATGGAAAACGAAAACTTTGTCCAAGATAAAAAATGTTTTTCAAAAAATTACAAAAAATTAATGTCATTCCACACAAAAGAATTTATTTTGTTTATAAAAGAAAAACTGTTCTTTGGACTTGGGAGTAATAATTTTGAAGAAAACATCTACATTAATTTTTGTTTGATTAAATTACCATGACGTGTGTCTATATATATATATATATATATATATATATATATATATATATATATATATATATATATATAGACACACACACATACACTATGGTATATAGTATCGAAGTTTTTCAATAGGCTAAGAACCCCTATTAATACGAAGTATAATGAAAAAGAATACCACGTCATATATAGACAATGTAGTAGTGTATGATGTGGAGTGATGAAAAAATGTATGGTTTGATGGGGTGATTGGGAGTGAAAGTAATAACTATATTTATCCAGGGTTGTAACCGGAGGACTCGTCTCAAAAATATTTATCTCTATGCAAAATCAATTCGCAAATTTGAATTGACTAATTGCGGCTTAAGCAAACGATTGACGATCATTAACTAAATTAATAAGTCTGGTATATAGGAACAAAAAAACAAGAAATATATTCCCCTTTTAGCCTTGGACAAGCTTATAATAGAGCAACATAGAACCATAAGCTTACCTATTACCACACTTGGTTTGTGTCAATAAAGCAAAAAAAAGGGTTAAAAACCTGATCTGATCCCAATGTAAAAGGGAGCCAAACTGATCTGAAGTAGTCTTCATTCTTCTCTCATAGAGCCCAACAATGCAACAAGTTAACCATCAAGTTCTTGAACATGCTGGGTAATTGATTCCAGGCATGACTGAGCCCGAAGGAGCTCCAACCGATTCGAATGTGCAGTGAACTGCAAGATGTAGTCTTCATCTGGAGAAAGCACAAAAAAAACAATTGAAATTAATAAGGCCAAAATGTAGCTTCCAGCAACTGTTTTCCATTTAATATGTCGTTCAGGGGCCTGTTTGGTAAGCGAGGCATGACATGATACGTGTTTTGAAATATGAAAGAAATGATATTGGTTTGAAATATAAAAAAAGGGGAGAGTTTGAAGAGATTTGAAATGATGATTGTCGGTTTGATATCTCCGAAAATCAGGAAATATCAAAGCACCCCATTTGAGGGTAGTGATATTGGAAGATATGAAATTCAACCCTGCTTGGACTTACCAAACACCCACAAAGGGATTTGATTTCGGGAGATATCCAAACACCCCATTTGAGAGGGTTGTGATATCGAAAGATTTCAAATCCGATCCATGTTTAGGCTTACCGACCACCCACAAAAAGGATTCTGGTATCTCATGCGTTCACCAAACAAGCCCTTAGGAGAAATGATTGTTCAAAGACATTGTAGGTGTAAATAATCACACAAGATGGCTAATATCACCCCAAGTTTTGTATGGAGACATGATGATAATGATATGAAATGACTATAACCCCCGCTCCAAATTTTAAAGAGGCCTGCCTCAGTCTCATATGGGAGGTCAGATTACTCTGTTACCCTTTAATTAGAAAGTAAGAAGCGGTTATATGTTTGTTTGTGCCTCCAAAATCAAGGCGGGTAAAGTTGGATAAGTGCTCAATTCAGTCAATTGTCTTGGTAACCTAAAAAGTTGTCGGTTTGCCAAAAAAGGCTTGCCAAAGAAGTCTTACTTTCCTTTACCGTCCCATAGAGCCAGCATAAGACCTCATCTGCAAATGCAAGGCATACGCCCCCCTGTTAAAATAAAAACCAAAGTACACATTGAGCATTCAGTTACAAAAAAAGTTCAGACTGTTCGGACCCTACAACAGTGCATGTCTACCCTACGTCCCCCTACCTGTTATATATATCTCTAACTAAACCCCAACTCGGGCACTATTGAAGATATTCACAATGCATCAAATAAACACCTTTGCAATATGGAGGGGGGGAAGAAGCAAATTGACAGAATGACATGGGTACCACTATTTCTGACAAGTCAATAGAAGTAGAGAACTGCTTGTCATAGAAGATTTCTAGTGCCATTCCATTTTAATAATATAACAATAACCAGCCTGTGTGTGCATATGTATTGTTACCTGCCAATAACCTTTGCCTTTTACCCTTTGCGTGATCTCATTGGTTCGCATTTTCTCGATACGGAGAAGACAACCATTATCATCCCTACACACATGTCAAGTGCGCAACCAAGGTTAAAGAAGTGATTATCTTTCCTTCATGCATTAAAAAATGAACAAAAATTGAGGGAGGGGGAGAGAGAGAGAGAGAGAGAGCATGGATTATCCCAAGATATTTAAAATATACCTAAACCCAACAACAATGAAAGGTACACCAGCAATGAACGACTGGATCTGAAATACAGGAATTAAGATATGTAAGACACTGTAATTTCAAGTTAGAAGTTTCATCACTTCTAATGAAATCTTTTTTGCGTTGTTCACACAAAGGAAGCCAGGTATAGCTGCTCAATGGCATGGCAGAATGAAAGGTTAGCTCACTATGCAGTAGCATTAGCAATAATCCTTTTATAATTTTTTAATGGTTTTAAGCACTAACATCAACGTACCATCAACAGCATTTTTTTAATTTCTCAATTTTAATCCTTGTTTATATTCCTCTAATTTCACATCCCTCTTCTTACACAACACTTCATGAATGTCTTATAAAAACCAAATTATGCATGGGGCTGGCACATAGGGAAGCATGTGTTAGTTCCCTGAAATCTGAAATGATTATATAATCAAATTCTGCCACATAGATACACTTGTAATTTGCAACAGGAATGTCTATAAAAAAGCAAATACCCAGAACTTGAGCAATTTCTCCCTCTCAAAAATTTCCACAGTGCGATGATCCAACAACTGCAAGCAGGAGAAAAAAGAAAAGAATGTTAGGTTTGAACTCTGAAACTAACAATAATTAAAGGGGATAGGGCGCATTGTGACCTCCCGACTTGTTTTCAGTTCAATATAGAATCTTTTGTTATTATTATCCCATGAATCACAGCAGTCCATTTCAGCCCCCATTAGCACACGGTGAGCTCCTATTTTGGTTTTTAGAACAGAACAATACTCGACATTGGCATCAACATCATGAATTCCATCTCTACCGAGATCTTCAGTGGCAAGGCTCTCAAAACAATAGCCCCAGTAACACCTGAAGAAGAAGAAGAAGAAGAAGAAGCAAGATGCCCATATGGGAGGTGGACAAGGTTTGCAACTTGCAAAAATTAAAAATAGAACCTAATGGTTATATGTGAATCAACAAGAAAATTAATGCATTGCAAAAATTAAAAATACATAGTAAAACTTTATGACTATAAGTAAATCAACAACAAAAATACGTTCATTAACATCCATTGATGATTGGAAAACTGAACTACTATGTTTCCAAGGATGAATATGCAAGATGCATATGTTTCTTTTACCTTCTTCTGTCTAGCTCACTTTTTGGCCTTTCTGGTAATGAGTGCACATCCAAATAGACAATGCCTTTCCTTTTGTGAACCCCCATTTCCCAAGGCTCCTTCCTGATATACGCTGTTGCCATTATCTGCAGATAATCAATACTTTAATGAATGATGAACAATTATTTTTCCAACCAAGATAAGAATGGCCAGAGTACTATGAAATCATACATCAGCAATCAACAACTAGTGGGATTACCTTATTGATGTTATTGCGATATGTCTGCCAAAGAAGAGCAAAGAAAAAATCATAACTAAGTCGCCTTTTCAGGTACTAGACAGATGGGAAGTGCAGAATATAAAACATTCTTACCACAAAGTGAATCCTTTCAAGCTGAATATCTTTATTATGCCTAATGCATGCAAGAAGGTCACCAAAGCCCTGAGAGCCGAGATCTTTGGACAGAGAATCAGAAGTAAGAAGTCATACACCTAGTCAAAATGATTAACAAAACTCAAAATGCAACAGTTAAAGTACCTCTCTTCTCAATGAACGTATCAAAGCCTTCATTCAGGTCAGCCCCGATATCTGCTGTGACAAGGCGTTTAAATAGTCTCTGGAAAAAAAAGAAAAAAAACAAAAAAAAACATGCACGTGTGAGGGAAAATGGATTTGGAAATGCTAAAAGACTAGCACACACAATAAACCTCTAAATGTTTGCATACCAAGCTGCGGTCATCAAAGTAGACATCTCCACCTTCCACTCGACTATAGCAAGCAAGTTCACAAGGCTAATCACATCATGGACCAAGTGAAACTTCATTATAAGCAAGATCAAATATTGTTCCATCAAAAAGTTGGAGGATTTTTTTGGGTTTTTTATGTCGCTTCATAAAACAAAGCTTATTAAATAAATCAATAATAGTAGGGGTTTTGGGAGGGATCATATTATCAGACAAAAATCATCTAATGTTTCCTTAATCTTTGTAATTTCCACCAAAGTAACACTTATTGCGAACCGGTTGGAGTGCAAATCATTTCACAACCCCCAACCCCCCAAAAAAACTCCTCTTTCATGTTGAGAATAAGAAGAATGATGAAGACCTGTTGAATTGTTGTGGATTTTCTCGCCAATGTTTCTTCACTCTTTGCAAACTTCAGCTCAGAGACAAAACGCTCATCACGAGGAGCATTGGGGAACTTTGAACCATACCCATAATTTGGCCTTGGAGGATAATTGGGAGAAGGAAGGATGCCATTCCCTCTACCATTCTGCCAACGACCACGCCCAATGCCTCCTCTTGGTTGATTGTTTGTATTACGCACAGGTGGCAAAACTGACATAGATGATGAAAATGATTAAAGTCCAGCTCACATATACATTTTTGGCTTATGCACTCCTATAGGCATGTATAGTGATTGTTGGTTAGATATGAGGAAAGAAAGTATGGCATCTGAAAGAATTGTTTAAGAAGGTACTTTGATCTCACTGTCATTACCTGAGAAGCTTTTCGCGGATATAGGAAAAGTGGGAAAAGGACTTAAAAGCTAGTTCAAACGGCAAACCCATGACATTTACTTCGGACAAAAATACCATACTTTGAAGTGTATGCATACTATGCAAGTCGCTTATCCAAAATGGGCATAAATGATAAAATAATTGAAAATGTCATAGACACGCGTGGTAAGAAATACATGCAGGGAATTATTTATACACTGAATGGGAGTGAATTGAAGATGGAAGATAACAAAGGTATTGTGCAGTGACAACCATTGTTCAAAATGTGCACATTTAGAATCTTGAACTATCACTGCCCCCATCCATCCCCTTTAAATCACTCAAATTCATAGCAAAATGTCTTATCTTACTAAAATAAATAAAAATCAAATCAAATTCAAAGCTTATCGAGTCCAAATTCTAACTATTATAGCAAACTGTAAAGTGCATATGCGAAATAAACATACAACTAAACTCACATACATACACTTGTCAAAATCAGAATGTATACTCAAATCCATAATTTCAAGCACGCAGACAGAGAAATTCCGGAGATACCAGGAACTGGGTAGGGACTAGTGGCATGCGTTTTCACATAATCATCATTGTCTGACCCAAACAGATCCTTATCTTCACCTTTTCCCTCATTCTCGTATTTCTGATCACTGCTAATAACAACGTTGTCAAAAGACCGCACTTCCCCATTGTCGTCTTCGTCTCTGTGGCTTCCGCTTCCGCTGCTACTACGGCTACTTCTATTGGACGACGAAGGCGATGAAGAGCCACCGGAAGAGGCGGATGAAGAGGAAGCGGCGGCGGAAGACGACGAAGAAGACGATTGTGAAGCAGAAGACTGCTGCTGCTGGGGATGGTTTTGTTGCTCGTCGTTTGAATAGTTGTCCTCATCATCGTCTTCTCCGAATAGCTCAACGGCAAAGTTGGTGTTCATCCTCTGCTCCTCTCTATCTCCGATCAGCAGTGTGGCTTTGGAGGTCGCCGGAGAATCGATCGTTGTTGGGAGGTTTGGATGCCTAAAAATTGCAGGGGAGGGGAGATTCCGGTGAATGTAAAATAGGTTATTCCAAATTCCAACGCTCTCCTTTAGTTTAGGTTTAAACCGTTTAATCTTGGGGACTGGTTTTAGATATTTATTTTTTCAATTCAAGATTAGGTCGGAATGGTTACAGCTAAATTTGGGTTTGGATACTTGTAAAAGTGAGTATTCATGAAATTTTTTAAATTGAAGTACATTAAAATTTTAAAGACAACATAAAATTTAAGATATTAAAAAATAATTATGACTAAATGACCCTTTAAAAAATTAAATAGTTAGTTTCAACTAATTATATACGGATTATAAAGAAAATACGGAGTAACATAGAGGCGAAAGGGTGCCAAGAGGTCTTCTGGAGATGTCTTGAGTCGAGAGGAGTTCTGGTAGCGTACATTCGTGCGGTCAAGAATGTGCGCGACAGAGCGAGGACTGTGATAAAGACAGTCGAGGTGACTCTGAGCCTTTTTGGTGTAGACGTGGGGTTGCACCGGGGGTCTGCCTTTAGCCCTTTCTTGTTGCCCTGGTTATGGATGTCCTGACGCGAGAAGTTCAAGGAGCAGTCATATGGGGTAGGGGAAGGGGTAGACCTAGACAAAACTACTCAATAATGTACATCATGGAGCTGCTATAATCACGCCTATGTGCAGGCTATCGATTTTATCCCGCAGAAACTATAAGAGAAACTTGGGATTCACAAGGACATCACATCAAAGATGTAAGCTTTACAATTTTACCCCTTTCTAATATTGCTCCACGTGCTACACATCTACCTCTCCGAGTGTATCCATTGCACACAAGCACAATCTACCAAGTACCAACTAAGAGTTTGTTCTCTTCTACTTATTCTTATTACTGTTTACATTGTACTTACTCTTATTGAAATCAACCAAATATTATCAGAAATAACTTTAAATATAACTAAAATCATATCAAACCTTAATAAAACCAGATCAAATCCAATGAAATCAAACAAAGAGAAGATGCTCTAAGACATAAAAACACAGAAAAAAAATACAAACTAAGACTCACGGGTTTAGTCAGTTACTCCATACACAATAAACCATTTTTTTACAATTGAAGCCTTATGCCTTAGTTCAAGGTACTCTTGAAGCCCAAGGAGTGACATTCAACAATATTTCTAATGAATTTTTCCCAACCATAACCAGGGGCTCAGTGTTCTTTATCAATCTCGCAAACTATCAAGAGTGGACAAACACATATACCACGTTTGGTTTAGTTGTTGAAGAAGACATAGATATCATCGAGAGAATGTCCCAACTTTCCACTAAACTGGATGTTTGGAGTTGGGTTATTGTGAAAGTCTTGGAGAAACATGTTCCCATGAGAACTTGGAGAATCCCAGACAATTGGGTTATTGGAAGTAATGTACATTAGGTTAAAGAGACTATTTTTGTTTTTTCATTCACATTTTCTTGTATATTTTTGGATTTTGGCTATGTCCTCCCTACATTTTTTGTTTACTTTCTATGGCGTTGGACTTTTATCCACAGAAATATATGAGAATTATATATATTGGATGGTAAATGATTATGGAAATATGAAGTATATGAAGCCTTTGTATATTTTTCTAACCTTGGCCATTCCTATTTTTTTCCCTTTACTTTCTCTGATGACGAGCTTTTATCCATCCAAGTATATGAGAATTATATACTAATATTGGATCGTAAATGATTGCGAACAAATGGAATTATATGCATCCTTTGTTTATTGCTTCTAACATTGGGCTGAATAGGAATATATTGTTGGTTTTGTTCTTAAATAAAGGTAATGACAATAATATTTTTATTATATTTCAGTTTAAATTGTTTTTATTCTTACGATTTTTGCATGGATGTGCATTGTTTTTTGTAATTATATTACCATATTTTTATAACATTGACTTAATAATAAATTTATCATAAAAAAATAATTAGTATTTTCATTAAATTTGTATATTACCAGAATATTTTTTTTAATTACATTACTGTAAAGAATGTTTTTATTCTTACGTAAATGTAATTATAATATTTCCGTCATATCTTAGTTGAAATTATTTTTATTCTTACTATTTTTGTTATGACTATTTATTTTGTATTGTAATTATATTATCATAATTTTATATGTGGAAACATTGATTAATAATAAATGTACTGTAAAAATGTAATCAATATTTTTATTAACTTTTTTATATTACTGGAATAATTAGTGGTTTAGACTAGATAGAACCAAATACTCTTTTTCCCAAATATATTTTACAGAGAAGTGATTATAAAATAAAATTTAATAATTGAGGATTATGAATTTACTGCGTAATATTTTAAAATTCTGAACTAAATTTAAGAAATCAATGGTTAAAAACGATCATTTATAAATTTACTATAATAATAATAATAATAATAATAATAATAATAATAATAATGAGCATGTCTTCACCAAATATCTCAAATACAGTGTAATAAATAATTCAATTATTTTATTTCATAAAAAATATTTGACGGAATTATTAAAAAAAAAATACTACGGTATAATTTAAGGCTTAAACCATAAAATGTAAATAAAGTAAAAAAAGAGGAATATAGATTGGAGGGCAAAAGTAAGAAAAAGGTAGACACAAATTTGGCAGTGAAAAGTATGGCCGAACGGAACAACGAAAAAATATGGATTTGTTCATTGAGAGTTGAACTCAAGACCTCCCGCTTACTAAACGGGTGCTCTAACCAACTGAGCTATGAAAGCTTCTCTGTAATCACGTCATGCATTAGTGTACTTAAACAAAGTGATACGTGAAAAAAATGAAAAATGATCACATCTACTGATTTACCAAATTCTGCAATCCGCCGTTTCTGACACACCCCAATTTACCCTTTCGATCTTCTCGATCCTTTCCCCACACAGTCTCCTCCTCCCGAAATGAGTCGGAAGCAGAACGGCTCCGGGCCCACCAAGTGGGCATCCATGGCCCTCCTCATCATGGGTCTCGTTTCCTGCATCGTCGTCTACGCTTTCATCTCCGCCGCCCTCACGCCCGGCGCCGCAAAGATCGAGTCTTTGGAGGAGGAGACCGGCGAGGGGATCGAGGGGTGTTGCAGAGGGGTCGAGAATTTGGAGCTTTGGGGCCCCGCCGTGAACTGGGGTGCCGATTTCAAGCTCAATTCCTCGGCGGAGTGCTGCCGAGCTTGCCGGGCTATGTGTGTAGCGGCGAGTCCGGGCCTTGTCTCTGTGATACCTGGGTGTTCTGTGGACACCGGGAAGCTTGTGGGTCTAAATTTGGCGAGGTCTGTTCATTTTTTTTCTTTCTTTCTTTCTGGAATTCATTCATTTCTGCATTTCACATTTTCGACATTGTTTAATTGTTCTTTGTGGGAGGATGTGACTTTAACAGTTTATGTAATCCATGTATATATGTAAATTCTTGTAATCCATACATTTAAATTCTAAAACTCTCATTTCTTGGTTTTGCCCTGAAAAACAAACAATTTTTTTGGGTTTTGGTGGCATGGGTTGGATTAAAGCGGTTTCGAAATATTTATTTATGGATTTACTTGCAAAAAAAAGAGTGTCATGCATAAGTATGTGAAGTGTCTTTTGATTCTCTTGGATTACGTAAGTCGCTAGAAAGGCTAAGGTTTTGCTTTCGGTCACCAATTGTTCTAGTGCTGGCTGAAGAAACAGCAAGATACCTTCAGACCGGATCGTCAAGAAGCAGGAAACAAGATCATGTGGACTTCCGGCATTATTTTCGGGAGAGGAAAGGTGTGTTTGTGTGTGTGTGTGTGTGTTCATTTGGCCATTTCCATAGTGTTCATCATAATCTTCATCTCCGTTCAAAAACTTTCTTATACGGAGGACTCGGGTATTTTTTTAATACCACACCAACTATATTATGTTGGCATAAGAAGGATTCATGGCATTGATTTCATACTCTTATGTTAGATATCTCTTCCATTTTTAATCCTAAGCAAATGATGTTGCATAGATTAATGTATACCATTATGAAGACTATTTGTCTTTAGGGTAGTTTTATATCTCTTCAAGAGTGTATACTCTTGAAGTACTCACTTCGTTCAAAAAAAAACTTTCTACACTTCACTTTTTTGGACGTCCCATTTTTTCCATTCTTAGTAATGAACATGTGAACGTAATATTTCTCTCTCATCTAAACATATTCTAACCATACTTTTGAAGTACTCACTTCGTTGTGATTTTTAGGGTATTTGACTATTTATTTTTTGTTCTGCCCTCCTTCTTAGGGTATTGTTGCCTTGGAAACGGAGCATGGCACTATTCGAGTAAAGGTATTTCTTTGTTTATATCGAAAGGAATGTCTTATATGTCGTATTATGTTTGGAAGGGTCTCTTTGAAAACAACCAACCCAGTAAAATCCCACAAAAGTAGAGTCTTGGAATACAACTTTCAATTTTCAATTTTTTTAATGCAATTTTCCATTGTCTTAAAAAAAGATTCTGTCCCATCCTTCGTGTGAAAGAACGTGATTTGGTGCAGCTTTTGCCTGAATGCTCCCCACGCTCAATAATGTACATCCTGGAGCTGCTATCATCGCGCCACTGCGCAGGCTGCCGATTTTATCGTGCAGAAGGTAGAGGGGAAGTTTGGGATTCACAAGGGAATCACATCAAAGATGTAAGTTTTTCGCTTTTACCCCTTTCTCATATTGCCCCACATGCTACACATCTACTTCTCCGATGTTTGGTCAAATTACGTGCATAAAATTTGGAGTAAATGGTCCCTAATTACACACGGGCTTCCGTATTTTAGTGCCCAATTCTAATATATTACATAAATGATCCTCAATTCTAAGATTTTACTGGGTTAACAAACCCAGTAAAATCTCACAAAATTAAAAGTAAGATATGGGTGTGAGTGTAGAGAGCAAAGATAGAAAAAACACACAAGCACAAGCATCCGACTAAGACATAAAAACACACCAGCCAAAAGGTCTAGCCAGTTACTCTTTACCTCACTAAACTATATTTTTAGAACAATTTTTGTTTTTCAGGCGTCCTTCGGTCCACCCTATGCCTTAGTTCAAGGAACTCTTGAAGCCCAAGGAGTGGCATTCAACGACATTCCCGATGAGTTCTGCCCAACCATAACCCGGGGCTCAGTGGCCTGGATTGAGTCGGGCCCTGAGTTCTTTATCAGTCTATCCAACCATCGAGAGTGGACAAACACATATACCGTGTTTGGTTCAGTTGTAGCAGAAGACATGGAAATTGTCGAGAGAATTGCCCAACTACCCACCAAACCCGATGTTTGGAATGGGGTTAGCGTGTCGGTCTTGGAGAAACATGTTCCCCTTAAGGTTCGGAGAATTGAAATCGCCCGCAGTTGAGAGAGGGAGTGTGGATTTGGGAAGTTTGAACACAGCAATTGCCAATTTACCACTGGGAGTAATGTACATTAGGTTGTACATGAGTAAATTTCAGCTGTGTGTATATTTTGGGGTTTTGAGTCAAGGTTAGAAGCAATATCCACCAGAATATATGAGAATTATATATATATATATATATATATATATATATATATATATATATATATATATATATAGGGGTTGGTTCCGGTGAGAATGATGTTCGGTGAAAGAAATAAGAATAGTGCTGGTCCGTTTGATTAGATGCATCGGATGGTTCTGATTTGCTTAGACTCTAAACTAGAGTCTAATTTAAAAATGGTAAGTAATTATTAAATTGCATCCTGATTGGGCCAAATGCTTCAACAAGGGCATAATATTACTTCCTTTTACATTTAACTTGCATTCAAGAAAATTAAGATATGGTTCTGATTTGCTTAGACTCTAAACTAGAGTCCACAATATTACTTCCTTTTACATTTAACTTGCATTCAAGTTTTTTTTTTGGATTTTTTTTCTAGTAAGTTTGAGTCAATCGATTCAAAATAGATCTAAAATAGCATTGTGTAGATGTGTTTATGCACTATGATTTGAATGATAGGGCCTATAGGTAAATGTTCTTTTTTGAATTGCATTTTGACGCATCTGTGGGATGCATTGTATTCCATACCAGTTCCATATCTTAATTTTCTTGATTTTCACTAACTTGTTACTTTAGTTTGTATTAAAAACAAACAACTATGCTTTGGTCAAAGTTTAACATTCAATTTTAAAATTGAGTTGTGATGCGGTCTTATGTAATATTCAATTTCAGAGATTTTAATTTTTCTATTACCATTTTTTGTGATGCATTTTTACTGGTACATATTGTATGGTCCGAATTTGCCTATACGGGATTCTAACCCACGCCCGTAGTACATACCCCTTTATCATTTGAGCAAATAGACAATAATTTATTTTTCCAAAGAGATTTTCATCTTGCACTTGTAAGTTGGATATACTAAATACACATTTTTTTTTTCATGTTTACATCCCTCAAAGTTTCTAACTCATATTAAAATGTATCATAGAATTTCACTATCTAGAATATAAAGATACATCATGTTTGTGTCAAGAAATTTTTTCCATCTAATGCATAAATTTTGATTATGAGAATAATGCACGATAATAAAATGCATCATTTTTTTACTCTAATTATTAGAATGCATTACAATCTCATGTAAATGCATTAGCTTAACCCTCAGAATGCACATTGCACAATAATAGAACAAAGCAAACAAAAACTAAAAAAGAAAGAAAGAAAAAGAGCACACCGTTATGCACCTCGATTGAATGAACACCAAATATGTGCCAACCCACAAGGCCAATGTGATTATAGTGTATGCAGCTAAATGTTGCACTATCATCAAGTTGAGAATGCATTATTGTGAGTAAAAAAGAAATGATATAAGGAATCTGGACTTTGGATTCCAAATCTGTGTCTCATAGATGCAAGATAAATGCAGAATAAAGGTTGATGGAGAAGCGATAAATTGTGGAATAAATTAAGGCGAGTGGGAAGAAAAAAACTTTATACATAAAAACTCTAAAATACGGAATTTGCCGACTGCAAAAAGAAAATGGGTATCAAGGTAATAATGACTTTGTTTCTCATCAGCCATCAAAGGAGCATTATGTTGAATACCAAACAAATATTAACCTTCGTCTAAACAGCAACATCAGATTCGATCAAAAGCATTGTGAAACACTCATTATCCCAAACCAGTAGACAAATTTTGGGTTGTTTGAATATTAGCATGAGAATGAATTAAAATCTGAGGGAAAAAAAACAAATCTAGTTTCCAGTCCCGTTGTAATTCCTAACCATACAATTATAGGGATGATCGAATTCATTTAATATAATGTAGAGCAAATCTCTCCAAATACTTCTAAACATTGAATATAGTGCCCGAATCCATGAGGGAAATCGTCCAGGTAGTAATAAATCAGGTGATCTAAAACCTGTAGCATCCTCTTCCTTCTCCGACGAACGTCGAGCACAGGGCAATCGATAATCATCTCTTTCAAATGGAAAACTTAAATATGGAAAACCACAAATATTGAATCACAAGGAATCCGGAATAGATTTCTATGAATGGAAGTGATTTGTGCGCTAATCTTGCGGAAGGGAACTCAAGAAAGAACGGAAGTTTGTGAAAGTACGAATTTGTCCAGATCTGTGAATTTGAGTGGCGAGAGTTAGAGATAGAATCTGAAAACATCCAACGGTACAGATTCATTCTTACTTCTTTCATTAGATGGCATTCTCATTTGAACCAAACTCTCTCGCTCTCTCTCTCTCTCTATATATATATATATAGTATCGTCAATGATTATGGACCGATAAAACTATATGAACCCATCGTATATAGCTTCTTACGTTGGGTTTCCCTATTTGTTTCCCTCTATTTTCTCCGGTGATGGACTTTTATCCACCGGGATATATGAGAATTATATACATAATATTCCCTCCGTCCCAAAAAGATTTACACCTTTTAAAAATATTACGTCCCACAATCTCATACCCATTTCTATTAAAAAACCAATTTTACCTCTTACTTTTTCAAACCCTACCTATCACATCATACCTTTTTATCTAATAATCTACACATCACATCCTACTTTTACCCATCACATCAAGGGTATTTTTGGAAAGTCAACATAAAATTATCCTCTCTTAATTTCAACTTTAGTCAAAACGTGTAAATCTTTTTGGGACGGAGGAAGTATATATTAGATCGTAAATGAATGTGGATAGATGAAAGTATGAAACTCTATGAATCCTTTGTACTCCTATATTGCTTCTAACCTTGGGTTGAATAAGAATATATTGTTAGCCTGGTTTCCTTTATATTTGAACCAAATGGTAAAATCTCTTCGTCTATTTATATTTTCTCAACTTGACTTGACACGAAATATAGTTGATTTTCCTAAAATGCCCTTCGTCAAATTCTTCTAATTCATCGTGTGCCGACCAACACTTCTAACCTTGGTCTCAATGGGAGTATATTGTTGCTTTGGTTTCTTTATATTTGAACCAAATACTAAAATCTCTTTTTAATATTTCATTATATTGGCTCTATCTTTTGATAAATGATAAATGAAGTGAATGAGCTCTCTTCAGGCCATTTGGATCTATGTGTCAAAATAAAAGAAAAAGGAAACATAGATATTAATTCTCTCAAATTTGGTGACAAGAATATTTTATTTTATTAAATAATCGTTGAAAACGAGTGCAATAGCAACAAAGCCTTAACCCACTAGGTGAGGTCGGCCGCATTGATCAAACGACGTCATTGCGCCCTATCATGTACTTCCTCCGTTCAACAATAAATTTTCTCGTTCACTATTCACAGGTCAAACTTTATTTAACTTGTTGGCTTATTTTCGATTTCTATTTGATAAAATAATTTAGTCATGTCACATTTAGTTTTGTAGATTTTTATGTAGTTTTTGAAAATGTAATTTCTATTTTTTAATTTCGTACCATTTTTCATATAAAATGATTTGAACATAACTCAACTCAAACATCGCAACGCGCAACAAGAACTTCATTTGTAGACGGAGGGAGTCCCCGTTTGGCATCAGCGTTAGAGATTAGCGTTGGCGTTTTGGAAAGACATTTTGACGGCATCTTTAGCGTTAGCGTTTTCTGAATTAATCTACACCATTTATATTTTATCCAAAATGCTAACGCTAATTGAAAACGCTCTTCCCAAACAAGGCCGGAGTATCATATCTGTTGTGAGATTATTCACGCAAAAGTCTATCTTGATCAATGTTTGCCAAGTCCTTCTACGTTTTCCTCTTCCTCCAGCCACATAGCTATTCACAATTTGATAATTTTTAGGGTACTTTCTTCGTCTTTAAGTATTTGTCCAATTTTGATTTTTTTCTTTGCATTGTTTTCAACCTTTGACCTATAATTAAGTTATATATATATATATATATATATATATATAGGAGTACATAATATAATATTTTGAAAATATTTTATACAATAAAACTAATTTTGCATCAATACATGATATCTTTTTTATTTAACTAGATTTCAAAATTTTCTAATTTTGATCGAAAAAAATAAAAAATGGATAAATAGGAGTATTTGTTTACTCGTTTTAGGTGCAATTAATGAAGGAGGAGAAACTCTTGTGGCCTAAGTGGAAGATTCAAATAACTTTGGGGTGCAAAATACTAATCTCCTATCGCATTAACCGCCCTTCAATTTAGTACTCGCTCTGTTCCCGCCACCGCGGCGGCGCTCAATTGCTCCAACAATCGCCACCGAAACCACCGCGCAGGGCCACCGTGGTCCGGCGTAGAACTCCCATAGAAATGGTTCAGTTTCACGAGCACATAATAACGGAACTCATCGACGACCAAAACGGCGGTTTAGTAGTCCTCTCCGCCGGCCTCGGCCTCCACAAACTCATTTCCTCGCTCCTCCTCCTCCACCACTCCTCCCAGGGCTCCCTCCTCATCCTTTCCGCCTCTCCTTCCCAGAAGCAATCCATTGTTCAGAATCTAGAGATCTCCCTCCAACACGAAGGATCCATTGCCAGCACCAGGGGAACTCCCAATTTTCCATCGGAGATTACTTCAGAGCTCCCCGCGCACCACCGCCTGTCGCTCTATACTTCCGGCGGAATCTTCTTCATCACTGCGCGTATTCTCATAGTTGACCTCCTCACTCACCGCTTACCCACTACATCCCTCGCCGGAATCATCATCCTCAACGCTCATTCAATTTCAGATATCTCCACCGAGGCGTTTATTGTTCGGATTATCCGTTCGACCAACAGGTCGCTCTATATTAGGGCATTCTCTGACCGCCCTCATGCCATGGTCTCCGGCTTTGCAAAGGCTGAGCGAACATTAAAATGCCTTTTCATAAAAAAGCTTCATCTTTGGCCTCGCTTCCAGGTTTTCCAATTGTTTCAGTTTTTGAGGATTTTATGTGCAATTATTTTTCACAGCAGTTTCATTTTGTTTGTTTATAAATGACTGCCTAAAGTTTCAGTTTGAGCAGAAAAGGCAGCTCTTTTTCTTGCTTTATGGATAAAACTTGGTGACTCATGTACCAGTAAAAACTAATGAAAGATATAATGT